AGGCTTCTGTCTTGCTGCCCCCACATGGACCAAGCATGCTTTGGCCCCCTCACAACTCCCCAGCAGACTTCCCAGCATCGCCCAGTGTTTCCTGGGCCGCATATTTTCCTCTTTCAGGGTTTATATCCTAGTTTTGGCTGAAGCACATCCCCAAGTAACTCTCTAAGGAAGACACAGTGAAGAATCATTCTGTGAGTCCTCATATGTTAACAAACCTATTCAGGCTGGATTGGCCTGCTCCAGAATTCCATATTGAAAATAATGTCCCTTAGAATTTTGAAGCCATTGCAATTTTGTTATCTTCTTGACATCCAGTGTGCTGTAGAGAGGTCTGATGCCACATTGCTTTTCCCTTGGGAGCTCTTTTGACCCCGCGCCCAGAGGCCTAAAATCACATTGTGAATGTCATCTATTATGCTAGGCACTTGCCCAATGGAGGGCCAGGTCTTCAGGTCTAGGAGATTTTCTGGTATTATTTCTTTGATAACTTTTTTTCTCTTCTATTATCTCTGTTTCAAATAGATATTTGACCTATATTTGCCTTCTGAATCTCATCAATTTTTTTTCCTTCTTTCTCTTTTTGTTTTTCTTTCTAGAAGACTTCCTTGACCTTGTTTTCCAACCCTTCTATTGATTTTTTGGTAATTTTAGCAATTCTATTTTTAACTTCCAGGTACTCTTCTTATTTTCTGATAGCTCCTTGTTCATAGCACACTGTTCTTGTTTTAAATCTTCTCCTATCCCTGAGAGGAAACTGATTAGATTTTTTTACCTAATTTTTATCTATTCCCTGCACTGTCTCTGCTTTCTCTAGAGTTGTTTTCCCTGCAGTCTGCACTGGAGCCTCTTTCAGATACCTGGTTTTCTGGGCACATGTTCTAGGGAAGCACTATTGAGAATGGAGCTTATCAACTGGCAGGTTTGGGATGATCAGGCAGGAGCCCCCAGAAGCCCATGGTGGAGACCCTTTCTCTGGGTGTTTTTCCAGAGGAGCAGCCCCCATCTTCCTAGTCCTTGTCCCTCTTACCATATACTCCATCACCATCATCTTGGCTCTCCAGAAGGGGGAATGAACACCTGTTTCTAACATGGGTGGTAGGTGGGTAAGGAGGAGAACCACCGAGTATGCCAGTATTGCATGAGAAGCAGCAGCAACTTGAGGTCATGCTGAGCATAGACAGGATCTCTCATGAGGCGAGTCACACTGTGCTGGGCTCCGGGCCTGTCTGTGAGCCTCCTCACTCCACTGAGGCTGAACCTGGCAGAGAGGGTGGGGGAAGCGGTTCTAGGCATCCTTACAGTACAGCCTGGTTGCTGGGCCCTCTTCCCACACCCATTCTCCTGCCTGGACTCAGCCTCTCCTGGAGAAAGCAGGGCCATCAGGCCAGGCTGGAGTGGCCTCATGACTGCTGGAAGCAGAGTGATCAGTATGGCTCTGGGATGCCACCTCTGAGCTGTGGGCCTTGACTCCCCAGGTCCCTTACCTGAGATGGGGCTGACTAAAGGTCTTCTGGGAAGGTGGGACCCCAGCCACAAAGCTGGAAGCATCTCAGGGTCCCAAGAAGGCAGGTGCTATCCTGCTGTCATCCTCATGTCATGGGTGTGGAGACAGTCTCACAGCCAGCCAGCAGCTTCTCCAGCCACTCCATGAAGGAGTACAGAGCAGCTCGCGTCTGAGCCTGGGACTACCAGACTCCGGGCCCACCAACCCAGGGAACAATAAGCTTGGGCTGAGGACGAGGTGCAGTAGGGGTCAGGGAGCCCAGAGCATAGGGGGTGTCCTCAACAGCTGGCCCGCTATGGGGGGAATAGCTGTCTCTCTACTTTATGGATCTCTAGGGCTCAGGGTCTGTTTTGGTCACCTGGGGAAATGGCAGGAGTTCTTAGACCCTGTCCCCTGTCCTCAGCTAGTGTGTGTAGTCACCTCACCTCAGTAAGCTTCAGTACCCTTGTCTAAGGAGTAGGATTGATGGTCATCCCCTTGCTATGCTGTGGGATGTTGTGAGACCTCAGGAAGTCTGTGCCTTGGGCAGTCCCAGGGAGGCCAAGGGTTCATCTCTCCCCTCTCCCTTCCTCTTCCCTGGTGCTGGGCCCTGGGTGGACTGACAGGGCCTCAATGGGAGACATTCTTGGCCAAGAAGCCCCACGCAGCCTCAAGGCACCGATGCTGGAATGGGCATCCTGTGGCCCTACTCAGGGGTGTCTGGTGTCCACCCTGTGCTGGCCTGCTGCTCAGTCACTTCTGGGGCTCCTCACTCTTGTGTGAGGCTTACTGCACTCCAGATCAGCCTCAGGTTGGTCCCAGGTTTGTCTTGGCTGCCTGTGATCTGAGATCCTTGCGCATGGCCAGTGTGATGATGATGGCATTGGTGACAAGGATCATGGGCCTCCACAGTCCATTTTCCATTCAAGATTCTGGCCAGGGGTCCACAGGATGATCCAAGGAAGCCTGCTTACAAGGAGACCCCCTCACTCCACTGCCTCTCTCCTTTTCTGGACAGAGTCATCTCACATTTACTTTTTCTTTGTTCTGAGGATTCTGTCAGCCCAGGCCTCGACCTTAACCACCTGGGAAGTGCATCATACCTGACCTGCCATGTCCCCTCCTCCCAGCCCAAGTGGACAGGCTAATGGTAGAGGGTCAGCAGGCTGTCCTCAGGGTGACCTGGCCACAGAGCCCCTAGAGGAGGGCACAGGGTCCCAGTGTTGTTGGATTGGCATGGAGAGAGTTGTGGCCTAGAGACCACCCCCCCAGCCTGAAACCATCCTCCTTAGATGTGTCTCCCTGAAGCACAAGCAGGTGCCACAGGGATCAGTGCCTCCCACCACCACCCCATTGCCTGGGGACATCCTTCCTGGGCTTCTTACAGCCAGTTTTGTTTGTCAGTGTTGTAAGTGCCCTCTTTGATGTGTGTTTGACCACTAGTCCATCAACAGCCTCTTTAATAAAATCATTGTTTCTCTTTTGACCTGCACACCATTTTGGGGTCACTCTCCCTCCTTCCCCCTCTCCAGCCCCGCAAGAGGCCACTAGGCTCTGTCCGTCCCAACAGTGTGGTCTCAGCAGGACAGTGGCCTTCTCTGATCCTTGGTTTCCTTTTCATTAGGTGGGGGTTCAAGTGACCTCCGTGAGGCCACTGTGAGGGTGAAGGCGGCAACACCCACACGCAGCAGGTGCTCTGTGTGCTCCAGTCACAAGCCAGGTCAGCAAACTGTTTCTCAGAAGGGTCAGATCCTGAACAATGTCAACTCTGTAGGCCACAAAATGCATCGGGACTACTCCACTCAGCTGTGGTAGTGCTAAAGTGGCACAATAAACACCCATGTGTGCCCATATGTTGATAACCTATTATTTACATACCTAGACAGGCAGTGGCTGGTGGACTGGTTTGCCAGATGCCGATAGAACAGGAGGCACCGGGACCCATCAGCTCTGATGAGGGTTTCACTGATCACCTGAATGTGGTACCCTGGCTGGTGGTGACCCAAATGGGAGCATCTCATTCACTGCCTCTGGAAACCCTCGTCCCCTTGAAAGGGCCAGACCCCATGGTCCTTCCTATCTGTCTCTCTCCAGGGGTGCTCACCAGCCCCCACTGGGCTTCTCTGTGGTCTCTCTGTGCTGCCCCCGTCACCACCCTGGCTTAGTTACAAAACCCCCGAGCAGCCTTCATACTTTACACACCTTCCTGAGGCCTGACTGCCCTGGTCAGGGGTGTTTGCAATATCTCAGCTGTCCTGGGCCAGCTTGGGTTGGCTGCAGTCCAGCTGCTCCCTCAGGACTAGGGCTGATCCAAGGCAGATGGCCAAGAGGCAAGACTGGCTGATCCCAGAGGGTGAGGGGGCACAGGCCTCCCGAGACCTGCACTTGTCTTTTCAATACTAGAATAAATCCCACTCAGGCAGAGGCCACCTGCCTGCCTTGCCGGTGATGTTTGACAAGTGCCCAGGGCTCCAGAGCGTGCGGGGATATGCCCTCCTGTCTTCTCCCACTCCAGAAGAGAGCAGACCCTCTGTAGCCCTGCGTCCTGGGAAGAGCTCCCCATGTCTGTCTGGTCTCATCACAGCAACCCTCTGCTATTTGGCCGACTCACTCACCTCGGCCCTGGCAGTCGAAGGCCCAAAAGTGTCCTCTTGTTGTGTACTCCTATAGTGTGCACCCGAGTGTGTGTTCCTATAGCATGCACCACAAACGTACATTCCTGTAGCATGCACCCCAAGTGTGCGCGCCTGTAGCATGCACCCCATGTGCTACTACAGTGTGTACCCACATGTGTGTTTCTATAGCATGCACCCTGAGTAGGTGCCCCAGGTGTGTACCCCAGGTGTGTATTCCTGTAAGTGCCCCCAAGAGTGCACTCCTGCACAGTGTCTGCCCTATTGGAGGCTGATGCTCTGGGCCTTGCAGGAATGGTCAGCTTCTGGCAGGTAACAGATGCAGTGTCCTGGGAGGAGATGGGATGTATTGGGGTGGGGACAGGACCCAGCACTGTTGGCCCTGCCAGGCTAGGCACCCAGTCCTGGACAAGAGCTGGCAGTGGAAAGGGGTCAGGGAGGGCAGATGGGCATGGTGACAGGTACGTGGAAGTGCAGGTCCCAGGCCCCAACACTGGGAGTGCCCTGTTCCTGAGCCCTGCTGTGGGGGGAGGCAGGGGCATATTGGCCACTCACTGATTCCTCATTAACATCCTCTGGGGACTCAAGCCCACACTGGCCTCCAGATTGAATTAGTTGAGGGACCAACCAATGAGCAGTTGTGGAGACAGATTCTGCAGATAATTAGGCAGCGGGTGTTTGTTGGTGGCCTGATGGAGGGAGGTAGGGGATGCCCACCTCCTATGAGGGAGGGGATGCTGGCTGAATCCCTGGAGTGAGGGGGGTGTGCCTTGTGCCCTGGGCAGGTTTTCAGCTGAACAGAGCCTCCAGATGCTGGTATCATCAGTCCCCAGTATGGGGCTCCCTGGGGTGGGGGCCAAGGGAGATGGGCATCAGGTGGAAACATGGCTGGACAGGGTGAGTTTCCAGAGCCCTCCGGTCCAGCAGCCCAGCCTTGACCAAGGATGGATTCCCAAGGCGTGGTCACCGGGCCAAGAATCCTACTCATCAGAGGATCTGCCTGGATGCTCACCCTAGCAGTGGGCTCTGGGGCTCCTCCCCTGGTGACCCCTGATGTCTGGGGCCGGGTCAGGGCTCCCCGGCCCCTTAAATCCCCCATGTAGCACATGCCATGCAGCAGAGTGACCAACGATGGTCAGCCTGCTCTTTGACCATAAGTGTTATAAACCAGGGACTGGTCTTGTGCTTACAGTGTTCAGTGCTGCCCCTATCATGGGGTGTCCCCTTAGGAACACACCCTTAGGGTGAGCTGTACATCCGGAGCCTCCACCTCACAAGTGGGCCAAACTCCTCCCCTGGCAGCCTTTGCTTCTTAGATTTGAAAGGAACCCAGGGCCCTCCCATGTACTGTGTTGGCTGTAAATTTTAAGAGGGAATATGGGTTTTGGGTGGGGGTGATAAGCTGGGGATGGGGGAGTGTTAACTCTCCACTGCCAAGTGAGGCCTTTCAGTGACTGAAAGGCCTTCTAGTCCTGGGGCTCTGAGCAAGTGGCTTCCCCTACCAAACCTCATTTTCCTCCCCTGTAAAATAGGAAAATAAAGTAGGCCCCTAGGAGGGTTCACTAGACCTCTGTTGGTCCTAAGTCCACCTGTGCACTGAGTGCATTCAGGAGGCTGGTCCTGCTGGCTCTGCCCGTGCTGGGCCTCAGTTTCCCCCACTGCACACAGCTTTGCCTATTGGAACTGCTCAGCCTTGGGTCCAGTGTCCTCCTTCCCTGGCAGGTGACCTTGCCTGTATCGACCTGGCCTGCCCCTGCAACTGCCTCCCCGAGAAGATCAATAAGGAGTGGGGCCTTGAGGGGCATGACCGGCAGCAGGGGCTGGCAGCCACCCCACCCCCAGGAGATGCAGGCCCCCTCAGGGGTGGGCTGCCACCCTCCTCCCCCTAGAGCCAGAGAAGGGGCCTAGGAAATGCCATGGGCATGCACACTGCCCCCTGCATGTGTCTATGGGCTGGAGGACAGACAGAAGGTGGGAGGTGACTGTGAGTAGGGAGTAAAGACCGAGGGGGACAGATGGACGACTGAGGGGGAAGGTGGGTGGGTGGTGAGCCAAGCACTGATAGAGGGCTGGAAGGGATGGGGAGCAGTCACGGGACAAGAAAGAGTGAGTGTAGCACTGCTGGGGTGCCTTGACCCTCTGCGGTGTGTGGACGCCACCAGCCCCCCACCCCCGCCCGGAGCTATTTCTGGCCTCGGTGTGCTGAGCTGTGGCCTCCTGTTCTGCCGTGTAACTGCGGTCTGTGACGTGACCCTTCTCGGGACGTTCTTGGTGATTGAGAGGGTCCTGAGCTGACCAGTGTCCTGGCTGTGCTACAGCTGCCCAGGCCTTCCACAGCCTACTGACCCCAGCCTCTTGGGGGGTGGGGGGCAGGTAGCAACTCAGATCCTCCATGGAGATGTCCCCTACCTGCCACAGATGACACAGGAGGGAGCTGTATACCTCCTGGTGCCTGCCCACACCCTCGCAGACTGGGCTCCATTCCTGTGGAGGCCACATAGCGGCTGCTTTTCAGGCTTGGGCTGGACACGCCTTCCGGCCCCTCTGGGTGGCACCGTGGCCGCTTCTCTTTCCCACCTTTTCCCCTGGACCATCTCTGGGTGGGAGAAGTCCAGGGCTTAATCACTCTGCCTCAGTTTCCTAATCTGTAAAATGGGTTTGTGATAGTATTAAAAGAATTCTTATGCAGCTCTGACACATGGCTTTTATGCTAGCTCGTAGACCCTCGTAATGCCCCCTTGAATAGGGTGTTTTTGCCACCCCATTGCAGCGGGGAGGCCCAAGGACACTGAGCCGGTGCTCTGGGCAACCAAGGCTGCCAGCCCTGTGCTATCTCTATGACCTCACCAGGGGAGGGGAAGAAGTGTCCCATAGGATCTCAGGGGTGCTGCACCTGCATACCTCAGCCCAGGGTAGAGGGCTCTGAGAGCAGTAGAGGCCAGGGAACACACCAAAGACATCTCCTGAGCCTGCAGCCTCTGGCAATCCCTGCTTCTGAGCTGCTGACCTCAGCAGCCGCCTGCCCGCTGCCCACTGGCTCCTGCAGCTGCTGGTGAGTCCCCAGAAGCCTCCTGCCCCTCCTGGCTCCCCTCCCTTCTCCCCACCTTTCTTCTTCCTCTTCCTTCCTCCCCTCCACCCCCCAACCCCATTCAGTGACCATGAAGGAGAACCTGGGCCCTTTGCTGCCCAGGAGCTGGGGCAGGGTGAACAGTGCAAGTGCTCTTTAGGCACCTGGGCCACACCCAGGCCTGTTGGGATTTTGGCTGCATGGCCTCATCAGCTGTCCTTCCTGCCCCATCTATGGCTGCCCTGGTGGGAGAGGCCCTGAGCAGAATCTAATCATTGCCTCCCTCCATATCCTCCCAGGCAGGAGTGGCTTGTCCTTCCCCAATGGTGGCCTTTGTGCCATTGCCACTGCTCCTGAGGCAGACCTGAGCTAAGGTGGGAGCCCCTCCCATGACCTCATGGGGAGGGCACTGTAGAAGACCCCTGGAAGGGCCATTCTGCACTGAGGCCTAAGGAAAGAGGAGGCAAGAATCAGCCCCAGGGATGGCAGGAGGGTGATTGGTCTGGATTTGTGCAGAGCTCAGGTGGCCTGGCGGCCTGGTATGGGAGCGTGACTCACTGTGGTTTCTGTGTGGGGGCCAGGGTCATGGCAGGGCTGTTTTCTTGTCATTTGTTTGGAGGTGAGCTGGTATTGAGTGCTTACTGAGAACAGGAGCCCAGTGAGGCTGGGCATGAGTGGGAGATGGGGCTGAGGGGATGGGACAAAGGGATGGGCTGGGAAGACAGATGGGGGGACCAGATGGGGGACAAGATGGAGAGGCCTTTTTAAGATTCTGAGGGGTCAGATGAGTGACTGGGCCCAGCCCCTGGGGTGGGGTCAGGGAATACCATCCTGCAGCCTGGCAGGGCCTTCTGTGTCCCTAGGGCCCCTGCTATGAATATGAACACAGGCCGCAAAGTTGGGTTTGATTATCTCATAAAAAGATGCCCCCTCTGCTTGCTCAGCAGAGGGGTTGCCATGGAGACCAGCAGACAGGCCCCAAGGGGGTCCAGGCTGGAGCCAATTACTGTGGCTGCATCGAGGAGGCAGCCCACCACTGGCCACTGCACTGACAGCAGGTCCGTGCAGAGGGACCAACCCTCAGAAGTTGGTTTCCGAAAAGCAGTTGGCTCAGCGGGAATGGAGCCATGTCTGCTCCTGATGCCGGATTCCCGGCAGAGCTGAGCCACACGGCTGCCCTGCCACTTACCCCCATGGTGTGGCTCAGCCCTGGAGCCTTGGGCCATTCTCAGAGTGGGTGTAGCCCCAAGCACGTGGCTTACAGCCTCGTGGGGGCCCAGACTGGGGAGGGCTGGAGGCTGGAGGAGCAGCTGGTTCTGGGGAAGTCAGCTGAACCTGACACCAGCTGAGCTCACAGACCATGGCTCCAGGCCTGACAGCCACCAGACAGCTCAGACGGTGATGTAGCAGGCGTGGTGATGATGGGTGGCTGCTGACATAGCCTGGTTGGTGGTGTGGCCCGGTTGATGACATTGGCACAGTAGCGTGGTTGGTGACATGGCACATCCGTGGTAGTGAGGTCCAGAGCCCAGCCTGGTGAGTACCCGGGGCCCCCATCCCACCCTGCCCCACTTCTTCCTCTGCTGTGAGTCCTCAGGGACAGGAAGTGCTGTTTTCATAGCATAGTTACATCCGGTGGCAGGTGAGATGCTGGTGAGAGCTGGCATGATCAGGCCCGACTTGCCCAAGAAGCCCCATAAGGAGAGAGCTTGGAGAGGATGTCAGCAGTTTAAATAGAACAGCTGGCTGAGATGCCCCCTCACAGCCTCCCGTGCATGGCCAGCCTGGGGAAGGGTGCCCTAGGCTTGGGGAGTTCTGGGCCAGGCCTGCCTCTCTGGACCCCCATCCCGGGGCTGCCATGTACCCAGCCGCTAACAAATGACTAGGCATGGAGGCCGGCAGAACACAAGGGACAGAGGAATCCCCCAGGATGTGGGGCCCACTCCAAGAGGGCCCACTCCTTATGCCCAGCTGGCCTTGCTCAGGCTCTGGGCTTGGGGCATGCATCTGCACCAGCCCAGGCAGAGAGAATCCAGTGTGGTGAGGGACCCAGCATGAGTGGGGGTCCCCAAGGTCACAGTTCTGGGTAGGGGAAGCTGGCCCACAGGCCTCTCCTTCCTCCCACCCAGCTCCGGCCCCAGCGCTTAGCCGGCCTCATGTCTGCAGAATCCTGCTCTTAGCTAACTGCCAAGAAAGGTGTTAGCTGTCAATGCAGGTGTTAGCTGTCAACGAAGGTGTTAGCTGATAACTCAAGTGTTAGCTGATAAGCCATAACCCTCCCAGGGGGATTCACATTTTAATAGACTCACTCCTGAAGGAGAAAAGACTCTTTGGCATTCAAAGAGGGGACTCTAATGGTGGGATGATAGGCAGTGAGCTTCGTACTGGGGTGTGTGTCCCTGCTGATGAGACCAGGGTGGATACAGCGTACCAGGAGTATAGGTCTTTGGTGAGGCCGTGTGTGTGTCTGGCCCCCAGATATGGGGGGAGGGCATATGAGGAATTATGCAGACATTGATTGGCTGGGAAGGAGTAAGCTCCTCACCCGGGGAGGAGATCAAGCAGAGAATGAGGCCGAGGGGAGGAGGCTGCAGGAGGAGTTCCATGCCAAGTCAGGATGTGTGGAGGAGGGAGCAGCCTGTCTGGAGGGGGCTCACAGGGTAGGCAGGGCTGCACCCCTGCCCTTAGGCATCCAAGCTTCTGATCCTGTGAGAGTAGAGTTACTCTGGAGTCTGCTGTGCCTGTAGCAGTTTCATGTGCCCTGTTGGTGGGACCCAGACCCCCTACAGGAGGGCCACTGGGGGTTGTGGCTCCTGGCTCTAAGGCTCTTGTGGTTTCCTCATTAAAGCACAGCTCTCTGCAGTGGCGAGGCCTCCTCAGAATCCAGGCAGCCCAGGAGCTCCAGGGGCTCTGGAGCCTGGGAAGGGGGCTTGGACAGGGCACAGGGTCTGAGCCACAGCCCCTCCCTTCCTGCAGCCTGAGAGGGCCCTCAGGAGGGGCTGCTGCGGAAGCTACTGGAAGTCCTGCAGCTGGCTGCCTGGCAGGCCTGGGAGTGAGCCTCTGCTCTGTGTGAACTTGGCCGGCCTGATCCTCAGTGTTTATACCAAGGGCCTCTCTCCCAGACTGGTCTGTGGGCTGGTGGGGCAGGGGACAGGCTAGGGACAGTGCTGGGACTGATGGGGAGGGTGGGCAGGTCCAGGGATTCACTGGAATCTCAAAAAGGTATTTGCAGGCATGAGTGTTTATCTCAGGAGGCCTTTAAATGGGCTTTGGTGGTGACCCAGCTAACCCTAAGTGGCTGGGGTGCAGGCATGGCAACTTGTGTGTTTGAGCGCTGGGCAGGGTGGCAGGGTGGCATGGGAACCAAGGTGAGGTTCCTCGGTGCAGAACATGTAACTCCCCTGGCAGGTTTTGGTGAAGTGGTTTCTGTGTGGCTGGTGGAGCAGGGATCACAGCACCTGAGTTTTCAGGAGTGACAGCATGTCCTAGGCCCGGCTCTAGGCCCTCCTGGGGCCCTGTCTCAGGGGCCAGCCTGGCTCCAGCATGAACCCCATCCTCACAGGGCCCTCTGCCTGTTAACCACCTTCTCCTCTGCCCACAGGGAGCCAGCTGCTGGCCTGGGTGCTGTGGCTGCAGGCGTGGCGGGTGGCAGCACCGTGCCCAGGTGCCTGTGTGTGTTACAACGAGCCCAAGGTGACGACGAGCTGCCCGCAGCAGGGCCTCCAGGCTGTGCCCACTGATATCCCGGCCGCCAGCCAGCGCGTCTTCTTGCACGGCAACCGCATCGTGCACGTGCCCGCCGCTGGCTTCCGTGCCTGCCGTAACCTCACCATCTTGTGGCTGCATTCGAATGCACTGACCCGCATTGATGCTGCTGCCTTCACCGGCCTAACCCTTCTCGAGCAGCTGGACCTCAGCGACAATGCACAGCTGCGTGCCGTGGACCCCACCACGTTCCATGGCCTGAGCCGCCTGCACACGCTGCACCTGGACCGCTGCGGCCTGCAGGAGCTGGGCCCCGGCCTGTTCCGTGGCCTGGCTGCCCTGCAGTACCTCTACCTACAGGACAACAGTCTGCAGGCGCTGCCAGATGACGCCTTCCGCGACCTGGGCAACCTCACACACCTCTTCCTGCACGGCAACCGCATCCCCAGCGTGCCTGAGCGCGCCTTCCGTGGCCTGCACAGCCTCGACCGCCTCCTTCTACATCAGAACCGTGTGGCCCATGTGCACCCGCATGCCTTCCGTGACCTCGGCCGCCTCATGACGCTCTACCTGTTTGCCAACAACCTCTCTGCGCTGCCCGCAGAGGCCCTGGCACCCCTGCGTTCCCTGCAGTATCTGCGGCTCAATGATAACCCCTGGGTGTGTGACTGCCGGGCACGCCCGCTCTGGGCCTGGCTGCAGCAGTTCCGAGGCTCCTCGTCTGAGCTGCCCTGCAGCCTGCCCCCACACCTGGCCGGCCGTGACCTCAAGCGCTTGGCTGCCACCGACCTGGAGGGCTGTGCTATTGCTGCCAGGCCCTCCCGTCCCATCCGGACCGGCGGGCCTACTGATGACGAGCGTCTGGGTCTGCCCAAATGCTGCCAGCCTGATGCCGTGGACAAGGCCTCAGTGTTGGAGGCTGGCAGTCCAGGCTCAGCCGGCAACGCGCTCAAGGGACGTGTGCCATCCGGCGACAGCCCACCAGGCAATGGCTCTGGCCCACGGCACATCAACGACTCCCCCTTCGGGACCCTGCCTGGCTCAGCTGAGCCCCCGCTGACCGGGATGAGGCCCGAGGGCTCCGAGCCACCGGGGCCCCCCACCACAGGCCCTCGCCGGAGGCCAGGCTGTTCCCGCAAGAACCGCACCCGCAGCAGCCACTGCCGTCTGGGCCAGGCGAGCAGTGGGGGCGGTGGGACTGGTGATGCAGAGGGCTCAGGCGCCCTGCCCAGCCTCACCTGCGGCCTGGCCCCACTAGGCCTCGCGCTGGTGCTGTGGACGGTGCTTGGGCCCTGCTGACCGGCCACCGATCGCGAGGCCGTTCTCAGCAGTCAGGTGTGTGTACATATGGGGTCCCCTCCATGACGCCAGCCAGCACCAGGCGGCAGGCCCTCCCTGATGGACACCTCCCGCCCACCCACCCCATCTCCACCCCATCATGTTTACAGGGTGCAGCGGCAGCGTTTGTTCCAGAACGCCACCTCCCACCCGGATCGCGGTATATAGAGATATGCATTTTATTTTACTTGTGTAAAAATACCGGAAGACGTGGAATAAAGAGATCTTTTCTTAAGCTATGGCCTCTCGGGCTGGGGTGCTGTGGGCAATGAGAGGCATGTGGGTCCCAGAGGTGCAGCCCTGCGTCAGTCACAGGCACACGGAGGCCCCAAAAGGGGAGGGATTTGCCAGGTAGTGCAGGCTGCCATTTCACTCCAGTAGCACCCAATGATGGTCAGCGGGGATGTGTCATGCCCCTGCCCTCCACCCTAGCCATGAAGGCTAACATCAGTGTGCCTTGGCCACTTTCCCTTCTAGCTAGGCTGACAGTGGCATCTGCCCAGGGAGAAGCGTTTGTCCTGCACAGAGCCCACAGGAGCAGGATGAGGCTGCCTTTGTGGGGGATGTCTGTTCCGGTGCCACACAGAGTCCCTGGAGCTCCTAGCCTTCCACCCTAGCCAGCGCCGCCGCTCCCCAGCTCCATATGGGTTGGGTGTAGGTAGACAAGGTGGCCCTGAAGGGGAGCTGAGTGGGCAAGACCAGGCCCCTGTCTTCCAAGACCTGACAGGGGTCATGTGTACCCTCATACCACTGCTTGTGGTCTCATGCCACCTGCAGCTATGCCTATGTAGGCATGTGCCCAGGCATGTGTGCACATCCACCACACTGCATCCCAAACACATGGGTCTGCATGCCCCTGCACACACATGAGCACACACAGCACATACACAAGCAGGGCAAGGACCACACGTATGCACACACATGCACGCACACGTGTGCTTGCAAACACGGCACACACAGCACAGGCAAAAATATGCACATGCACGTTTTCTCAAGGCCTGGGCCCGTGAGGACTTAGAAACAAAAGGAAAAGAGGCCATGTGGCCCGTGACTGAGGCTCCCCCGTTCCCCTGGGGCAGGGGCCTTTGGGAGCAGGGTGAGGGAGGAAGCACAGTGAGTTGGGGGAGGGAGTGGGGGGAGCGTTGCTGGTGGAGCCAGATGGCGGTGGGGGCGGCCAGGGCTCCAGAAGCCCAAGGGAGGAAGGAGGAGGGGGGAACGTGTGCAGCAAGCAGGCTCTCAGCTCCCCTGCCCAGCTCTTCAGTGCCCATGGTGTGCTCAGACCCTCCGCACCCTGGGGGCCAGGGCAGAGTCAAGGGCCTCTTCTTGATCCTGGGCTCACCGGCACTGCCTGCCCACTATGTGGGTCCTGGCAGTTTGCCCCTCTGCACAAAGGACACCAGCACATCCAAGCTCAAAGACCTGACTGCCTTGCCCCCGGCTCAGAGGGGGCGGCTCAAGCAGGCTCTACAGGAATAGGGACACTATTTGCTCAAAGCTCCTCTCCCAGCCCCTCTGGGCCTAGGAGACCCCATTGCTCGCCCTTGATAGCCTTCTCAGAGGCAGCTCTGTGGAATCTGGTGTCGAGGTGTCAGACAGCTTCTGTTGTTTAATCCAGTGTTCACCTGAGCAGACCATGCCATACCTAAGAAGGTGTAACCAAAGTGCTAGATCTGGGGAAGAGGCAGGGCTCCAAACTAAGGCTGACAGGTTTTTGCACAACACAGTGGCCCCTGGGTTCCCACCACCTTCCTGGGAACCAGAAAATGGCAGATGACTATCTGCAAAGAGCTTTGAGGCCCACCTGAGCTCCTCAGCTTGCATGCCTCCCAGGACAGGACGTTCTCTACCTATGTTGAGCCTGCTCTTCACTGAGTGATACCTCAAGGCACTTTTAAGGCTAACTGTATCTGTCACCAATGCTCCTCCCTCTGGCAGCTCAGGAGACTGCAGGGCTCCATGCTGAGCAGTGCCTTGGCTGACCACCCTCAGATGCCTTGATGGGCCCTGCCTCCACAGCCACACATTCATCCTTCCTGGTACTGTCAGAGCCCACAGCCCATCTCTTGGGACTCTGCACCCCACCTCCTCCAGAAGGGAGAAACCTAGACCTTGACAAGGAGTGGGGACAAGGGGCCAACCAGGTCTTCAGAAGCTGAAGCAGGTGGATGGGTGAGCCCAGGTGGAACTGGAGGAGATAGAGGGTGGCATCCCACGGATCTTGGAGACTGTCCTGAGAGGGGCTAGGACCGGATCTGATTTCCAGAGAAAGTCCCTCTGGCTGCTATGTGTGCAGTGGAAGCTTGTGCAGTGCCGGGCGAGGGGAGGAGGAGGAAGGCTCAAGCAGGGTAGGGTGGGAGGATCAGGAAGGACATGGCCGCATTTCGAGTTGGATCTGGCAGAAGGCAGAGATGGTGGGCAGGGCTCCCGGCGTCTGCCCTGAGCAGCCGGCATGGGGTGCCCATCCCCAAGGTGGGGGTGCAGGAGGAGCGGCCACCGTTGTCGAGGCCCAGGAGACATCTGGGCGGGGGTGTCGCGTGGGCTGTGCGGGCTGAGCTCAGGAGAGGGGCCCAGGCTGGAGGACAATTTGGGAGTCGTGAGCGTTTGGGTGATATTTACAGCCCAGGAAGTGATGAGATCACCGGCCGGTGCTGGTGAGGGGCAGGGAGGAGTGGTAGTGCTGAGCCTGGGGTGGCAGGCTCAGCTCCTGCATGCCCCCACCAGACCCCAGACCCCTCAGTGGCCCCCTGCTGATTCCCTGAGGTGGGGCCCCTGGCTCCAGGTGGGTGGGTAGCTGATGTCCAGCCTCAGTCTCTCAAACCCTGAGATCTGCACAGGAAGCTAATTAAAGCCACGAGAAGTGGTGTTGAGTGTGCTAACCTCCCCCAACACCGGCTGCTGGTTTACAGTGGATGCTCCTGGCCCCAATCCAAAGATGCCAGGCCAGCCACAGGGCAACCTGTGGACAGAGCATCCTTCACAGCTCACAGGTCAACACCGCCAAGAGCAATCAGTGGAGGGTTACCCCGGGGCCGGGGCTCGCTGAGGATGAATTGAGCAGGTGATTAGCCCTCTCAAGGTGCTGGGGTCAGGGCTGGGCTGCTCCAGAGGGTCACTTGTCTGGCAGCCCTGACTCTGGGGTCCTGGGACGGCAGTGAGGCACAGCCACAGACCTTCTTGAGGGCCAAGAGGTCCCTGGGACCACTCTATGCTGCCATCCACCCAGGGCTACATGGTTGGCTCAGATCCTGGGATAGCAGAACCTGCCCCCATTTATCTGGTTTCTGGGGCTTTTTGCACAGTAATCGAAAGAATTAGAATGTTCAGCAGCTGATGGTAGACTGATGTCCAGTGAGACCAAGAACATGCCGGAAACATGTTTACAGGGAAGTGTTTATTGGATGAACTGGGGCTTCGGGCAGCAGGTTGGAGGCCCCTCCTCACAGCCAGGGCTTCTGCCCTGGTTACAGCGCTGCCCCAGCCCTGCCCCAGCTCTCACATGCGTGTCCTCCCAGGAAGAGGCTGCTGACATCCCCAGTGTGCAGATGATGACACTGAGGCCCAGAGGCATGAAATGACATGCCTGAGCAGCAGTGGACCTACCTGAGGCCACCATGCTCGTTCAGACACACCCACTGCCCACGTGGCTTTGCCCCAGAGGGTTGTGTGGCCGGCACATGGCTCCCTCACCACACCTCAGCTTCCTTACCCCAGTTCCAGGACGGCACATGAACGGAGCATCAATCTCTCCACCTTGTGCCAGTTAGCCTGGCAGTGTCACCCAGCCTGGCGGTGTCCCTTAGCCCGAGGGCATCACTCAGCCCTGTAGGTAAATACACTCTGATCTGTGGTGGACATGTGACCACAATGACACAGCTGGTCCCACTCCCACACAGCATCTCTGGCAGGCTTGCTCTAGGTCCTGCCTTGTTCACCACCTCCCATCTCCCTTTTCCCATCCTGCACGGGGCTGAGGCTGCCCTGGAGACCCAGATGACAGGTCCAGTCACTGTGTGCAGCACAGCCGAGGGGCTTGGCAAGGCTCCCCATACAAGGCATGGGCAGACCCAGGGAGAGAGCAGCATTCTGGATGTGGCCCTCCCCATGTGGCCAAACTGGAATCCTTTGGGAATCCAGGGGTCCTGCCTCCTCTCCTGGCACTACTGCCCCCTGCAGCTCCCAGTGACAGAATGTCTCAGGATCATCTTCCCTGTACCCTCCACCGTGCTTCAAGCCCTTAGCTCTGATACAACCCCCTCCCCCAGGAAGTCCTCCATGGAGGACGATCGTCCCAGGCTGATAGTCACCCAGCTGGGAGGTCACGGAATGGATCCATAGCACCCAGACCTTGCACAGCCAGGGCTCAGGGAGGTCCAGAATTGGGTCCTGTCCTAGGGCAGGTCATCACACCTCACTAGCCCTCGGTTTTCCTGCCTGTCATGAGGAATGAATAAATCCTCGTGGTAGGCATCCCTGCCACAAAGCTGCTGTGAGAGGGGCTCAGTTCAGACCCAGCACTGGAGAGTCTTAAAGACTGACAGGATAGCTGAAGCCCCCAGCAAAGGAGCTGGATCAGGTGTTCCTGCTGCACCATCTCAAGGCTATCCCACCCTCCAGGTAACCCACACACAGCCGGCTTGTCTTCTTGTCCCTCAGACCTCTGTGCAGAGCACACACTTGGATGCCCAGGCCCAGGAAAGCCAAGGGAGTCCCCTGAGGCCAGGCAGCCGGTGGTGGGGCCAGGCTGGGCACCTGAGCACACCTCACCCCTGTGGGGTTGCTGGAGCTGGCCTCAGGGACCCCTTGCCCTGATGTCAGCTGAGTGCTCAGCCTGCCTGCAGTCCTGAGCATTGCACACACAGCATTTCCTTCCTTCCTGCAGCCGACTGGGGGTAGGGAGGCTAGGCAAAGACCATGGGAGGGCAGCAGGACTCACAGCCAGCTGTGCAGATGACCTGGTCAGC